CACTTCTGAATGTAAAGTTTACCGCTAATCTCGCTAAATTTTAGAACGAGGACACTTGAGCCCGCGTTGTTGACCGCATACCCGCTGACGTAGCATTTCATTATTCAGCTCTGTCGTGGTAGCACAATTAACGAGCACCGACTTGTTATTCAGCAACCATAACTTGAGAGTGTTTTGGTTCTAACTATCTCGTATTCAACAAGTGCGAGTAGAATAATTTCATCAACAATGGCCAAAGAAATGTCATATCTCGGCTAGAATTGAATGGATACCTATCCCCAACCAAGCCCGACATCCTTAGGAAGGGGAAATAACGGGGAACCTCCACGGGCGGCCAAACCGAGCTTTAAAATGCAGTAGACGATGCGGTAAGGAAGGACCCGCTGGATTGTCTGATTAAATCGCGCGTTGTTACTGATATATATTACAAAACCATTTCACTTTAAAGCACATGTACTTACCCCATTTAAACTTTCCAGTGGCGTTTCCAGACCTCGAGCTGAGGGGGGTGTGGGGGGAAGGCGTTTTTGTGTTTGTGTGTTCACCTGCCAACTTTTCTTCCCTCTGCGTTTATTTTTTTGTTTTTTACCCAAAATAAGTGGGGACGGGCCCCCCGTTCCCCTTCCCTAGATCCGCCACTGGTTACTACGTTCATTTTTTAGGGTTATGGATTAAAGAAAGGTGGACAAAAATCGTCATCAAATCCGAAGATAGTCGAACCCTTGGAAGGGATTTACATCCAACAAGTCTGCTGCGGTTTGGGCCACACCTTGTACATTGCACGTGACGAGGATAGCGATCGACCACTGCTAGAAAAATTACCCGTTTACGACCCTGACAAGGTAAGATATTGAAACAAGCCTGGTGGCCATGTGATCCTGCTACTGCAAGGATTTCGTGTGAAAATCGTTTAGTGATTTATAGAGATCCTAGGGTACGGCCAAAGGAAAAGGGTGTACGCGAAACCCCTATAGTTTAGAAAATTGGATGATTTTTGAAACAACTTGGCAAGGCACCTAAGGCCGGTGGACTGCTTCTTTAAGACCCTCCCCCACCCCTACCCCCCACCTGCTCATTTAGCCTTTTGCCTGGGGATCCCATGAAATCATTCCTTAAGGATCATACCAAGACTTTAATTCTGTCTTAAGATTATTTCCCATGTGATCACTAGTTTTGGTTAACTATTCCCTACGCCAAATGCACTTTAAAAAGCCACCTCGTGGACTTATTACTTCCTATGGCCTCCAGCCTAGAGTGCTTTCAGGTACGGGGTAGAAAGAGGGTCGAGAGTGGAAGACTAGAAGTGGTAGCTAAAATACGATTGTATTTTTTATCTCGAACTGTCATTCAGTTTTGATTAATACCATATGCTATATTTGTACCTCTTCGGTTAAATAATTTACAGTATGAGATTTTTCCGGAGGGGAAAGAAAAGGAGGTTTATCTTTTAGAGAGAAGGCATATCACAAACTCGTAAGCTCTTGGAGGAGGGGGGGGTGGGAGGACTTGTTGCAGGCGGAGAGTTTTTCTAGTTTTTTTTTCGGGGGGGAGTTATACAATTTGCGTTTTGTCGTTTTGTCTCATGTAATTGTTTTTTATTTTGCAGGTGTGAGTCTAACCAATATTACCTCCTACAAATGTCGTGTGTGCCATGGCTCCTGTTTACTTCAATGTTACGTCACAAGTCACGTGATCCAATGCGTGCGTAGTGTTCTTGATTGGAAGTTTCCAGCTGTTTCTAAATTATTTATATTTGTACTTTTTGTGATATCAGATAGTTGAGGTGAGCTCTTTACTAGGAAACTTCTAAGAGGACAGGGAGATTCCGAAATGTTTGCGTCTCGTTGTCGAAGATTTCAATTCAAATGCCCAATTGCAATTGTCAGCCCTGCTTAAATTTTTTTTTTGTATACCTGACTGAAAAAGTTCTAATTGAGAAATATAAAAAAACATAGAAAGCTTCACTGCGATGGTTTTTACGTAGAAAAGCAATTTCGGATTTAGACCTTGCCTATGGAAAAGTATTCCAACCATTTCCTCGTTTTCCTTCGTACGACATATTATCTATTTATAGCGGTTATTCCTCCAATATTTTTGTCTCCCTAGATAGAGTGAGAGAGAGAGAGAGAAAAAGTCTGACATGAGAAGCGAGTTGTTAAATAATCTAATCATATGGTGACGATGTATGGCCTTAGTTTGGGTATAGAACCAATGAAAAAGATATAGAAAGAGACAAGTTTAGTATTTAGAAAGAAGCTTGATATTGATTTTACATTTTTAAAAAACATTTCAAAAGTATGAGTAGTAAAGGAAACACAGTGAAATTATATTTATTTTGCAGAGCTCTAAGAAAAAAGTATTGATTTTAGTGAAGATGGATCTGCGTAGCTGGCTGATTTGTGTCAGGTGTGCGAAATAGTTGTGAAGCAAAGGGCCCATGCCTTCACCGCCCACCGGCTCCCTCGTTTCAAATAAACAATCACAAAACCGCCAGATACGTAAGCTGTGAAATTTTGTTGCTGTTATTGTTACGGTTCATTGTGCAATAAAACCTTTGTAAAATGATTCATAATTTTGTCTTATTTCTTTGATATAAAATTATTATACGATTATGTATCCACCAAATAGAGGATTTCGCAAATAGTTGATAGTTCTGTCAAAAGTGCGCGATCTACTGCTTTCTCTGTGTGAAGTCAACCTTAGTGTAGGTCGAGACAATCACTTCTGAATGTAAAGTTTAATAGAGTTTTGTATTATATCTTATTAACCAAGCGCGAGGGTCGACAGTGCCCGGTCCAATACTGAGAGAATATTGACCGGCAATAGAGCATTTTGATTGGTTGATTTTAGTTATTGGCCCTCTGACTGCCCGAGTCGTGTAATAAACGAGCAGTATGGACCTCTTTACTAAGGGTTAGTCCGATGCTCCTCGAAACTAGTTATCGAAATTCTAGTGTTAATATATTTTATCTCTCGGCCAAAAGAGAATTTCCCAATTTCCAATCGAGGAAGCGCTGTCAAGACTATAATAAGGTTAATTTAGCGTGCAAGGCTTAAAGTCAGAGGTGCTCGGACCGAGATTCCCTCTCTATACAGAATAATAGAGTTTTGTCAACCAGAAATTTAATTTACTCGAACTAGGGTTAACTTGATGCTCCTTAAAACTTATTAGCAAATTTCGTTTGTTGAAATATTTTTACACCTTTGTTTCGGTTAAAAAAAGAGGATTTCCCCAGACAATTAAGTTAGCGGTTAGAAAGAGTGTTTGTTTTGTTGCTTTATTTCAATAGAACGATTTCGTGTTGACAGGTAACAACTCTCATCCATGATTGGTTAGTTGCTCTCCGAGTGGTTGGTCCTCCTTATTCATAACTTGAATTCTAGAAAAAGCAGATAAAAGAAATCTTACTAATTTAGGTCAGCATTTAAAAGTAGGTGGCCATGAAATCGTGGCCTTACAATGGACTGTAAACAATTGGTTGAGCCCCCCCCCGTAATAACATATATCACCCCCCTTCCCAAACAACGAAACCTTTTGTAAGGTCACAGGTCAAAATGTTACTGCTTTGATAATGCTTCGTAAAGGAAAGTCTCCCATGCAGTTACGGAGATCTCAAAGTGAAAACAAGCATGCGCAAAGTGCCTGAAGTGCCGGAAAATTCAAATAAACAGGTTGCAATAGATTTAATTTAGATATATCAACAAATTTGAAATGGTAAATTGACCACCGTAACGATTACAAAAGCTGACGTTTCGAGTGTTAGCCCTTCGCCGGAGCGAAGGATCGTTAGCCCTTCGTCGGAGCGAATTTACCATTTCAACTTTGTTGATATATCAAAATTATTTCGTTACTCCCACCGACGCAGCCCCAAACAGTTTCTTTAGAAACTATCAGCCTTTAAGCAATAGATTTCATTTTGCAGCTAATTGGTCGAGAAAGCGAGTTAAAATGTGTATGACACGAAGTTTTTGTTTTTTGGTAACTAGATTTGTAAGATGAGCGGTTCGAGAGTTAAAATTCGTCAAAAATTCCCCTAAACATTTTTTTCCTTCGAACTTCGCGCGAACGCGGCCTGAAATTTGTCTCCCCGACCACGCTGCTGAAAAATCACGTGAGCAAAGGTGTCACATACACTTTAAGTAAACCAATGCAAATCAACCCCGGATTGCTTTCAGTCTGGACACTTTATCGAAGATTGCTATGTCTTGCTACCTTATCCTGCCCCAGAAGAACGCTTTTATTTTTTCTTTCCTTCTTGCCGCACTCAATGTTGATGTCGTCTTCCCCGAGGCCTAAGTCCTGACCAAAAACATCAATGGAGGCTTTCACCAGGTTTTTTTTGGCTAGTTTCTGGACTTTGGGATCCAAACAGTCTCCAGGAAAGCTTTGCCAACTCATCCCTTTTCGAAATGGAACTGGCCCTGTCACATTTGAAAGTAATGGAAGAGAAAGAACAAAGGGAAATGAGATAAGAGAAAAGAAAGTATATAACGGGTTGGCTAGGGTCGAACAAATGAAAGAAAACAATTGAAATGAATAAAGGAAGGATTTAGCTCAATTACCATTCAACACTTAATCGAAAATTGTCATGAAAACTAGTACTGGGCCTATGAACTTCGTAATGGGCCTTGCTCTCCATGAGTCTCTTTGGCTCAGTGGTAAAGCATTAGAGAGCGGAATCCAAAGGTCTGAGGTTCGATTCCTAATGGAGACTCAGAAGTTTTTATTTGTACCACGCTCGAGACTAGACGAAAAACATCTCTCTATTTCTTTACTGACCTCAAAACTTACCATCTTTCTTAGTCAATTTTGAATTACCATCGTAGATTTATTGATTTTCAGTCAATACCGTAATCAACTCGCTTATACTACGAAAATATGAAAAACTACCAACCGGTACAATCTGGCCAAGGTAATTCTTGTGACACCGCTGGGCGCGAATCCCATGCAAACCATGTTCCTGTTGATTGGCAGATGTACATTTGGGCAGGAACTCTGGTAAAATCCCTGAGGAGATTACACTGAGGTGTGCAGGCTGTCCCGTTTAGTAGACTTGAATGCGCGCACGCCATGAGACCATTCAGAGGTGGAGCAAAAGTGGGCACGTGGGATCTAAAATGTGAGAAAAGTAGTGGCCAAACAGCTATTGTATCAAGAAAATGAGGGCTGTGAATCAATAGTCGTGCTAAAGAAGTGATCCCGAATTTCGACCGAGGGACTCTTTACACGACCTCGGATAACTAGTTAACCGTTGAGGGGTGTTATGAACCTATTTGCAAACAAACGATTTGAGAGCGTTTATTTAAGAAAGGTAGCTGCACCGGGTCAGCCCTCCTTCATGCTAGAAAGGATGAGACTTTCCACTCCGTCATGCAGCACCAACAATACGAAAAGGAAAATGTCACAAGCAGAGTAGCCAATGAGAATTCGAGGAAAATACATGCTTACTGCCCCAAGCGCAGAGCAACGCGAGCAATAAGTCTCGATCAGTTCTAGTTGCATCTTATTGGCTGAAAGGCTGGCGCCAGTCTTCTAAACTGATAAGATCACGTACAAAGTATACCAATCAAAACTAATGCAATTTCAGATCACCAAATATTTTTCTGGCCTGAGATATTTAGGCGGAGGAGACTCATTTACTGACACTCAGAGATTTTCGATGGAAGAATGTCCGTAGATGAAACGGCACCCTTCATTTAAAAAAGTGGCATACAAAAATGTAAGGAGTTGAACTCCGCTGTGAGCATCCATGTACAATTTTTTTCCAAACACAGCTCTGTTGGGAACCAAAATGTATTGGCTTTACTCACTTGAAACAGTTATAATGGAATGTACATGACGCCTTATTGCCCGAAGGGTCCGTGGCCTTGTAATTAATTTGATGTTTCCCGACCGTAAAACCTGAACCAGCGACTGACTCAGTAAACAAAACAACATGTCCTCCAGAGTTATCCTTAGTAGTCGGCGGCTTCCAGTGGACAACAGCTGTGGGGCCTAAACCCGTCTTTATGACTTCCATATCTTTAGGACAAGTTATCTTTGGAGGCTCGTCATCTAAGAAGGAAACATGTCAACGTTTTAGTTTCAATCTACTATAAATGCATCTCATTTGGGTGCGGTAGTTTTTTTTCTTTGTATATGACCGTAGACTTCAGGACTTGTCTCGATTTGCTTAACAACGAGCGACAGTAAAAACTATGTTACTCCCCCTGGATGGAATACATGTCCATCGCTAGTAACCTTAATCAATTTCCTAGACAATTCACTGATACCTATTTTTATTCCTCTGTGGACAGAGGCACTACGAGAAACTCCCCCCCATTCCTCCCCTCCCAATGCCAGCATTTTGTCATGTATTCTCACCAGTTTACTGATACCCTTGGTGGAGACAGGCGACAGGCACTGTAAGTGCTGGGAAAGCGTCTCTTTTGAGAACAAAACATTTTTCCAGTACACTTTGTGTGAACCATAAGGCTACTCAAAGCTTCACACCTCCGAATAAGTTAAACTGAGTAACTGATGTGATGAATCAGTCTGGGTAAGTTTAAAAAGGTTCATAATTTCTTCGAACCACACTCGATGAAAGTGATTAGGGCGCCAACAAGACAGAAAGGGAAACTTCAAAAGCAGAATAACCAATGGGAATTCCAGGAAAATGAGTGCATTCTACCTCAAGCGCGGGAAAACGCTGGTGAAAAGTCTCGATTGGCGCTAATTGCATCTGATTGGCTGAAACTATACGCAACCATGACTCACCTATAACGGTAACGGTAAACACGCATGAGTGCGAGTTTCCACTTTGATCTGTAGCTGTGTAAATTATACGTGTTTTTCCAATTGGAAAGTCGTGCGGTGACAAAATGCCTTTCGGGAAGCTGGTAACTATGGGTATGTGACCCGAGTTGTCCATGGCAAATGGTTTTCTCCACCTCACCTCTCTGGTGGACTTGTTTGGTTCCGTGTTGCTGTAGACATCAACCGGGCATTCTATATTTGGCGGATTTACGTCTTCACAAGAACAATGTATAGTTATTGTTTTATGACTGCAAAGTTTAAAACTGGTTTCGACCACACGCATGACAAACAAGATTATTTAAGTAACTTTAAGCATCACATGACAGTGTGTGGCCTTTCCCTACATCTACGCAGTTCGGAAATCCACAAGACTTTAGAATGAAAATTTATCTTTCAAATCGGCACTCTTAATCGCCTCGGTATCAACGAACGCTTTTCATCTTAATTGTTGTCCTGTTTGTGCATGTAGTTATATAATTTGTCTTATCTGGTCATATCAGTTCTCTTTCGGTTTCTTAAAGAGGCTTTTTTTCCAACGATGGAGCTTACAGCTCCAGATGCAACAACTGATTTAAACAGATAAAATAATAAACATACCTACCCTTGCTATCTGGAAGAAATGTTTTTCGCCCTTGGTCAGTGGCCAAAACTGAAATAAGGTGAGTTCCAGAATATTTGATACAACCATAAAAAAATATTAGATTCTAAAAATTGGCCTGCCTAGATTAGCATTTGCTATCTGCGGGCCAGGCTAGCTGTAATTCGTATTTCAAGAATGGAAAATAGAAGATCGGGTCAAACGTATTGTCGCTGATGATGTGAGTGAGTATCAATTGCAATATATAAATCGGTGATGAAATTTAATTTTACCTTTTTCCATCGCACAGACTATTGCTACGAGCACTGTTAAGTTTGACCCCATAAGCATCATCGCCTTCGATATGTGGCAGAGCTGGCCTGGCAATATCAAAACTTATCTTAGAAATCAAAATAAAGAGAAAAGCTGTGGAGTGTGAATGGCTAGTGAAATTCAGGGGGTGTACTGTTGCACACTCAAATTTATAGCACGCTCATGAATTTGTATAAATAAATTGTATCGAAAATGGAAAGTCGAAAATCAAGTTTCTACTTTAAGAAAGCTGGTAAAGCAGTTAAAATCGACACATTCAATCCAAAGTTTACTTCAAATGGTCGCTCTGATTGTGGATCGCCAATATTTATTTAATTTGTCGTTTCTGGGCCTCTTTCTTTAAAATAAACTCCGGCGATCATGAAACTACTAATTGCAATTCTATTGTGTTCAGAGTGAGTTCTAACGAGGAAATTTGCTGAGCTGATTAATTCAACAGGATTATTGTATCATTCCCCTGCCAAGGGAAGTTTTTTCAATTGAAGTGATCGGTTGTGCGTAAATTTTTCTGATTAAAACTCCAAAAGAAATATACAAGACTCATGTCAAACTTATCAGAAAACTGTTTTTTTTTCTCTCTGTCTCTCTCGAATACACTCAACTTAGCAATCAAGCCAAATTCGCTAGGTAATTAGAAAATCTGAGCAAACTTCCTGAAAAACGCCCTGTTATTCTCACCTTGGAGAGTTTATAAGCTTATATAGCAGGGGTTTTTCATTAATATACTTCTGGAGACTCTTGCTAAGATGCCTCGCAAAACAGGGCGAGAAGATATAGAACAAATAGTTAGACCGGGGCCAACGTTTTGTACAAACAATTCTGGATTGTAAAAGACGAGGAAATATTGTACTTGGACGGAAATGTCCTCGTCCGGAAAGCATAACTAAACATTATCGTGGAGAGAACCTTTTTAAACCCTCACCGTANGGCAGAATTAAACTAAATAAGAAACAAGCAAAAGCGTAAGGTTACTGCACAAAAACAAGTAATAACAAAAAACTTGAAGAAGGAGCGTCCCTTAGACACCGCTTTTTCCATTAATTAAATAGGATTGTTTATCACAGATTCATTGCAGTGAATGAGAACATAAATTGCTTACAGATACTGCCACCTCAAGAGAGAACATCTATTTCCTATCAAATCTAAAAGTGTAGAGATTCGCCCCTCTTCTCGAATTCGGCACAAAATAAACTCAAAATTAAATTACAAACCATAGGAAATATTAGAAGGAAATATTGCGGAAAGTCCCTGGACAGAAATTAATTTAACTTAAATCAATTACAAATAAACGACGTGTCAGCATAAAAATACCATCAATAAGATGGTAAACAAAAGATTGTGTTCTGAAAGCTCGCTAAAAAGCTAATTATCAAGACAACAAAACATATGTATTACAATGAGTTCATGATAAGAGAATGTATAGGTTGGTCAAAACCATCAACAGCTAACAGAAAGTACTCAAAGATCTCAGAAACACATTTTCTCAGATTAAGATATGATCAGTGAATACTCTTCAAATGACATCTTGGTGCGTGAGGAAGATGTAAGAATCAAATATCCCCAACAGCAAAAATCCAAAAATAAGAAACAATGAAATGATACTCGTACGATTCTTGGTATCAATTTTGGCTCTTGACAATAGTTACAAGGACCTTGAATCGCAATGGATAGCTTGTATTAGCTAGTTTTCCCAGTTTTCTTTAATGTCCATTATTATTTAACCCGTTTGAAAACTTACTACTTAACGCTTGATATTGTCTTCTTCGTTTCCGTTTCAAGGAAAAATGAACATCCTTTTCCTCAGTTGGTGATCGATAAACCTGGTTTTTGAAGTAAAATAGAAAATGTAACCCCAGAATGACAATATTCTATAGTAATACGCGGAAAAACCTTGAAAAAAGAAATTGGATAGCGCCATGAAACATCATTTTCATTTCAAGAACTCTCATGTCGGTGATTTGTTTTACAATCACGCGTTTTAATCAACCTCTTCCCATTTATGAAGAGAGATCGAGTTTGATAATTATGTATGCATGGAGATGAAAGTTTGTTTTGCTTCGCTTTCTTTCCTTTTTTTTTCCCAATAAGATTTTTTAATCGTCCTAGGAACGAAAGCATGTCTTTTTTTTTTCTCATTTCACTGTTAAAAAACTTTACCGTCCACTTTTCAGTAGAAGTATCATTCTTATGGCATTTTCCTTATATTGAAAAGGAAAAGTATCCTCGTATAAATCCATTTTATAGCTGTTAATTGGATCCGTTCAATTTAACATGGCTGTATCGATTTAACAAATGTTGTGTTATCTTCATGAGGAAGTCTGAAAACATTTCCAGTCTGTTCCACGCTGTTTCA